CCCTTCTACCCAGAAACGCTCATTGGGAAATTAATCTTCAAGATGAACAATGAACTCATCTCCTGGCCTGTGAACTTGCTGTTTGCCAGGAGGCCTGTGAATGCTTAAGGATTATTTTCGATTTGGCAGCATCAATCGGGGGCTTTCACAGTCATATAAGGCATGGCCGGCAAGATTTAAAGTTTCGGAATCCTCTAACTGTCCTTCGCAGGATATTTTTAAGTTTTAAAGGTGTCTACTCTAACCTCTAGAGCTTAAGTGTAGTTTACCCTGAAGGTGTACAAAAAACAACAACAAACAGGCTAAATGTCAAGGGTATTGCTGTAAATCACATTTCAAACTGGTAATTACTTATTAGTGGAGAAAAGACTGCTTAAAAGGGTGCCGTCTCATTGGAAAGCTATTATGGAATGCCTGCAATTTTGCCTTAATAAACTGAGTAAAACTTGAAGTACCTACTCTGTGATAGGGACGCCAGACCACAAGAACAACTATTAATAAAATTTTCAAGGATCTCTCTCTTTACCTAAAGTTAAAAACAACAACAACAACAACAACACATTTTTCCCCATAGTTTTTTAGGAATATTTGTTGGGGGGGGATTTCTAAAAATAGTCTCAATGAAGTTATTTAATTTAGTATATCTCTGAAGAGGCTTGTCTTATCCTTTGAACCCAACAACAGAAAGTTCTTTATACTCACAGTGAAGTATGATGAGACCAGTAGTTATCACGCTAAATGACTGGACAAACAGAAGGCAGAAATATGAAAAGCCTCGTGTGTTTCCCAAGCTGCTCCATTCTCCATGTCATTTCCTGTGACAAAGGTTCTGTTTGTATCTAGAGTCACTAACCTGACCCAAGTGGACTTCCTCTGCATTTCCTAAGAGAGAGAGACCTACCGGTAAATGATCTCAAAGTGTTCCCATGCCCCATCTATTCCTGCCAACGCTCATGTTTGGAAAGGAGCCATATTTGAAAAGGAAATTGATAAGATCCTCCCCGCCCCCAACCAAAAAGAAAGATGCATATGAGCACGGTTTCATCTGCTCTCCCAGGGTTCACTGTACGTGTCTGAACATTCACAATTCCCTGCCATTGGCGATAACACCTTTTCTTACTCATATCGGCTAACATTTAAGATAAAGAATAAATAGCAGCCCTTCCTCCCTGGACAAAGCCAGGTGATAAGCCATCAGTAGCCCCAGAAGAATCTAGCAAGGCTCTGAGGGGGAGGGGGGGGGCACTTCCAGAAAATGCTGAATGAACGGGCACAGCTCTTCTTCCCCCGCCTTTTGGGTTTCTTTTCTCAGAAGCAACCTAACATTGAAGCTGCACTGAGAACCACCAACCAGCCTGAAACAGCGTATCCTTTGACATCACCCTACGCCGCGCTTACCATTTGCAGGTCAAGCAATGAAACGAGGAGAGAGAATCAAGTGAAAATGCCTGGCAGAACTGGCCACGGCGGAGAAGTTCTTTAGGGAAGAATGAAAATGTGATCCTAATGAAGCCAGGCCAAGATAAACAAAAGCAGGCTCCGAGCAAACGTGCCCGAGATCATTCAAGAGTCCTGCAGGTTTGTTGAAGGAATGATGGCCACCTGCCTCCTGTAGCTTCCCACTTGGTCTGAGCACTGGCCGGGGGCAACAAGAACGGCACTGCCCTGTTCAGTGTGGAATGAAGCCATTCAAACCCTTACGCACACAAAAGCTGGATCACCTGAACACTCCGTGCACATGTGGGTTTACGTACACAGGTGTTTAGAGGTTGGATTTAGGTGTGCTTCAAAATTTACTCGTACGAGTCGGAAGACTATAGCAACCACAGCTGCGATGGACTTAAATTACTGAAGTACAAACTGTAGTTGTCACTTCCTTTGCAGATTTGGCTGTTCATGAAAGGAAGCCCAGGGAGCCGGAGTGCCAACGTCCTTATGTCGCTAGGTTTGGCAATAAAAAACGATGGTTATTTTATTCAGGTCTTATATTCATGGAAATGCGGTCACAAGACATTTTTACAGCATGAGATACTGCCCCAGTGTTTTAAAACTTGCTGTTTTCGGAGGAAGACAGTGGGGTTAGACTCTTAAGTACCAACCGCAAGCTTAAAGCAATCTTCCCAGTGAAGACTGGACTTGCAATGATTGGGGTTAGATGTACTTTCATTACGCGGTGTTTAGAAGAAAATTAATTCTTCTGGGATGAAAAACAAACAAAAATTGATGTCTTGCACATGACTGCATACACAGGGTCAACCGTTAAGTCAGGAGAAAACCAGGAAAGAGCACCAGCATTTCCTTCCTTCAGCCTTTCCTCGGGGTTCGATCCCAGGGTTCCCGAGTCACACACCAAAGCCCTTCCGTGGTATTTCCCAGGGAACCTGCCTCCTTCGGAAACGCCTAGCCCGGCTCTGCCTTTTAAGATGCAGCCCTTTTCGAAGCCTTCGGTTCCATTTACCGTTTTGTTTGTCCTTCCCGTCTGACATGCAAAGACACAATACAGCCTCCCTTCTTTCCACACAACCGAATCCAAAGCAACCTATGTGAAATGCACACAGAATCATGTGAGCGTTCAATCCGCATACGCACCAACACCCCACAGAACGCATTCAATGAGCTCCAACAGAGTTGGCTGCGTGCACACGGCCGAGCCGGGAACGTACGCGGGCTCTTCCCTGACTCCAACCATTCAGACCTGTGCATGGAACCTGCTCCCTTTCCCGAAAGGGGGGCTGTTTAAATGCCACGGGGATAACTGGCCACAATGCAGGCGCCAGCCAGCCCCCCGGCTGCGGGCGACCCTGGGCGCAGGCTCCCCCACCGAGCTCCCGGAGGCTGCTGCTCGCAGCTGGCGGGCATTCATCTCCCACGCAGCCCCCATGCCCGGCGCGGCCACCTCCCCTATTTTATCTGTTAATCAAGTCTCGAACTTCTCACATCAGAGCTCCAGCTGAGAAAGCACCCGCACCCCGCTGAGGGGGGCAGGGAGAGGCTAAATGAATAACCTGC